TCTAAATACCAGCCGTGTCTAAAAAGTCTATCCGTGTCTAACCGAAAGTGTCTAAATCGTGTATAAATCGTGTACAAAAGTGTGTGCAAACCCAGGTCTAAATCTATGAAAAGCGTGTCTAAATTATGTACGAATTCGTGTCTAAATTGTGAATAAATTCTACTTGTTTCGCGTATCACCACCAGCCCATCCAGAAACGATGTCCAGGCGAGTTGAGGTCATCAGGGACATGCGGGAGCAAAGAGGGGGACAGCCGAACCGTGTGAAGGAGGGAGGGGCAGAAGGAGGATGCTGGCTGGATGGATGAGGGAGTTAGGAGAAGAAAGATGAATCGGATGGTGGGGGAGGAAGAGGGGGAGTATGAGGAGGGAGAAGCAGGAGGAGGGCGATCACAAGGGCCAGAGGTTTCTTGGATGCCTCTTGGAGCCTCTTGGGATATCTGTTTGGCACTACTAGGAGGAATCTTGGGACGTTTTTTTATCTCGGAAGGGGGGCAACTACCTGCCAGTGCGCGGCAATATTGGAAAAGCCGAAATTGAAAGGTAAATGAAGGCTGCCGCGAGATGCTACCGATAAGAGCACAAAACCTTATGGATCTGGCTGCCCTTGTGGCCGCACTTGTGGCCACTGTGTTCTCGTGTTTAATTGAATAATTATCATTGACCACCATATAACGTAGCTGTCGAGGGCCACCCGCCGGGTGGAACTGCTCCGGGCGGAACTTCCATCGGTCCAGGTGGAACCACAGAGGGAGGCGAAGCTTGCCTTCGCTCTGGTCGGAACTTCCTCCACACAACCAATAAACCAGCCCGCCGATGAGCGTGATGACAGCAGCAGCGGAGCCGAGCGCCACCCACTCGATCTCCGTCAGGCCAAGTGCTTTTTTCTTCCTCGCAGTAGAGCCCATCGTCCGAGGGCTCAGTCCCATCTGGGCAATCGTCACAAGTCTGTGATCCAGAATTGTACCACTGATGCTGCGCGCAGGTGGTAGATGGCGAAGACGGA